GTTGTAATTTAAAATAATTACAAAATCTTTTACCGATATGCTTATTTTAGTATTTTAAATTGGTTATATATTGAATGTCTTTTCTAAGCTGTTCAGAAATTGGTACGTTTACCTTACATGCAGTGAGCCATGAGAAAATGACCAGTCATAATCGATTATTTTTCTAATATTTAACTATAATTGGTTGATTACTAGGTTTACAGCTTATACTATACTATATATTACTTCTATGTAGATGGTTCAAGTTATCACAGTAGAAACCGCGAGACAATAATATAAGCAAATCCAAAATATTGATTTACTACTTATGTCCTACTGCTTAAGCTTTTTGTGTGCCATGGGCTTTACTCTCGTCTGCTGCCAATCAAATATTGACACAAGAGGGAGCATTGTCTATTTCTATACCAATGTAAACTTTAATTTTAACTCAACTTACTTTTTATCTTTTTCGAGTTCTAAGAATTAGAAAAAGATAAAGAATAAATTAAACTGGTCTAAATTAGTTAATCTACATTGGCAGAAACGGGCACATGTGCTTTCTTAAGATCAATCGGTGGTTATGTTAATTCTCATGATCAGTAGCCACAACATAATTTGATATCAACTTCTGCACAGCTTCCGAATATCAATTTCTTATTACCCAAGCTTGGTTTAAGGCTTGGTTAATAGTTATTGAAATGTGATATTTATCCCGTAAACAGAGTGCATACAAGATGAACGTGAAACCCTGAAGCGATTCTTCGTTTTCATTGAACCGACCTCGATCGACTCGCCAGAAGCGATTAGCGTACGCCACAGCCGGATGACGACGATTAGAGCATCGTAACACGGCGATTTTCTTGACAGCGTGCGAACTCTATCGATCTTTAACACAGAGGTCGACCACACATACACGTACACACATCAGGTCTCGAGATACAATGGGTGGCGAGTGCAAACAAAAGCGAACGTCCACGCGCCTGTCCGACGGCAATCAATTACGGAATTGCTGGAGTCAGGCGGTTTTGACTGGGCCGTGCGGGCAATTTATCAGATTAATCGTGGAGGAAGTGATTCCCGGCGGATGATGGAGACCAACGCGGCGAGCGAGCGAGTTCCATATGTCAGGAAGTGACCAGGTGTCGGCGTCCAGACCGACCGGCCTGGAGAGGCGAAACGCAACGGTGACAATGTGTGTAACACACGGAGAAGGGGGTGGCACAACGGGGACACGCGATATCGAAACCAGCTGTCGATCGCGAACGTATCCCGAATATCGTGTCGTTGCGCTGCACTGTCCGGTACGCAATACTGTCCCGTCCGTTGCATTCCCAGGGAGAATGCAGACGAGAGCGCGTTCAAAGGCGATATATCGTCGCGAGACCATCGCCCTTGCCAGTTACCACCGCAATTTCGCCGTCGGTACGCAATTTGCGCGGGTGTTATCTCGCGGCGACGACAACGGAGAGACACGATAACGCTCGGTGGCGCTTTGAAGTATGAAAAGTGCGATAGTACTGCATTAATACGTCGTTGGGAGTCGTATCTATTGTGGCGTTATGAAATACATTCCCGATAAAGTGGATGTATTCTTACTAACGATATCGTGAACGATAACGATGGCGAGGTAAAGCAGATTAGAGATTATATACTCAACGAGAGATTATGTACCCATATTGAGAAAATAGTGTTTGGTATTTGTGACTACAATTGCTTGGTAAAATAATTATGGTCGGAACAAGCTTCATGTTTATGATTATTACTGCTGTTGATAATGTTCGTTTAATAATAACCATATATGATAGTTGTTCAAACATAAGAAAATTGTTGATACAATAAATGAACACAATAAATTGTCAATAATTTCAGATATTAAAATATGAAGATATAAATTGTAAATAAAATAAATATTTATTTAGTAAATGCAACCCTAGTCATTATGAGTATAACTATTTCCCTAAATTCACTTACTATTTATGTGGCAATAATAACTAAAAAACATGTTAAGATAAAACTAAAGATCTTCAAGCAGTTTATGTGAGACTATAAATTAATAGCAAAATTGACTATATTTGCATGGTTAAAATAACTATAAATATAGTCTCAAGAATTAATATAAATTATTATTAAATTATAATAATTGCAACTATTTCTCTCAGAGTGCAGTATAGTATATACAATAATAATTCCATACGCAGAAGTTTGAAAATTTAACGACTTCAATTACGCGAGATAATGTCTAATCATCCGCGCAATTATATGAACATCTAATTATGATCAATTACGTGGTATATTTTACGCCCGTTTAGTTGCGTTTGCACTCCAATTTTGATGAGAGAGAGAGAGAGAGAGAGAGAGAGAGAGAGAGAGAGAGAGAGAGAGAGAGGGAGGCAATGCGCGCAAACACGTATGATTGATTAGCAGAACGGCAATGTATTTTTCATCGTCGATTCCGTTAATGACTCGCACATAGAAACGTGAAATCCCGCGGCATGCAAAATGCGATAGAACAACAGGAGCTCGACACAAAACTATGGTTCCAAGCGCGTCGAAGTGCGTACACTATACGTATGAGCGAGTAGATTGAAACTCAATTATTGGTCGTGTTAACGGGCTTGGCACCGCATCATCCATTATTTTCGGATTTTGCTCATGCAGCTAGGCACATAAATTACGCACCGGAGTTCATCATCAAATATACATATATTATCGCGCCGCGTATTTCAGTGCAGCATCATTCTTCAGTATATATAAAATCTGTATTCTCCTGGTCCCTACTATCCCCCGTGCAACCATCCGGACACGATACCCAGCGTTATCCGCTTGAGGTTTCGATTCCAGTACTGTCGCCTATTGCAAAGCACGATCGTTGACTGAGGATGTGACGGTAATCCAAATTACTTGATCTTTGTATCCTACCTTTCTTGCGATTCTTTTTCTTACTTTTGTGTATATCTAATCTTCACATTAAGATAGAATTCTATCAATGTAGATTAACTGTAATCTTGGTTATAAGAATTAGAAAAAATAAAGGGTTGAACTGAGATTAAAGTTAATCTACATTGGCGGAAAAGAGCGTAAGAGAAAAGTTCTTGGTACATTGAGAAAAAAATTTATGTACTAAATTTTAATATAATTTTTTTTAATAATACTAAATAAATATTTATTTTATAATCACAAGTGCCAATAAATTTTTCTCTCAAATCTCAATGCATATTTTAAATCGTCTTTTGATCTAACGTTTGATCGTTCAAGATCATTCACTTACCTTTTGCGCTTTGCAAGCAGCGGCCAACGGCAGAACATCATGAGGATGTGCGGCGTGACGATCACGAAGACACAAAGCGCATATCGCGATTTTGCAAAGGGCGCAATAGAGAGTCACCGCTTCGCCATTGTGATCGTTGCAGATCGGCGTGCCCTCGGGTCGAGATCCCTTATTTCCACTTGATTGCCAGCTGCCTCTCGGTGGTCCCAGATTGTGGGCTGCCAATGGGCCCCTCTTCGGATGGCAGGACTCTCTGCAGGCGTCGCAGTACAAAACCTGAAAGAAGAATCGCCAAATGTCGAATATGCAAAATATTACAGAGAAAGGTTAAAATACGAGAGAGAAAACGCACGATATTCACTTTCAAACACATCAATATTTAGAATACCTAATGGATGTCTAGAGAAAAAAATTGCCGCTATAAAAAATACTGATAAAGTTTCTGCAGCGTTCGAAATTTTTTCCCTCCGTTTTTTTTACTGTACTTTTTTTTATTAAATAATAAATGCGTAGATATACATGTGTCGATAAAATTTTCTTATTTTTACGTCAAGCATCAAATATACTTAATTTTATCGAATTTATACTAAAGTGAGTATAGACTGAACCTGCCAATAAACATTAATTTCGTGAATATTTTTTTTTAGAAGCAATTTTTGCGATATTATTCGGCTTCATCAAATATTCCGCATTTCGTTAGGTATTTCCTTCTCGAAAATAATATCATTTCGATTATCGATAGCCGAGGTATTGTCGTCGCGCGGAAATGTTGCCGGCAACGAATGAAATTGCAGGCGCCATCGATTCTCTCTTTTTTTCCCACGTAGGTACCTAGGAGCGACCGGCGCGACAGACGCGAGTGTAAAATCACAGAAAAAATATCCGCCACTTGTCTCGGAACGCGGTATACCCGAGGGACCGCCACGAGAGGGCCGAAAATGAAATTTAACACTTTGGAGGAAAGCGAGCAAGAGAGGAGGCGAGACGAGGATGCGCGATTGGCGTACAACGTTGTCGCGCAACGAGATATTTCATGCGACGCGACACTCCGAAGCGCGGTAACTCGATCTTTTCAAACAGAACGCCGAACAATGTAAAATCGCTCTCTTTGTCACTATGTGAATGCAACGTGGCGACGATTTGCGTGAATACATTGTGCAAACAAGTGTTGCGCGAGCCGGAACTGACAATTGTCGAGAAAATATCATTTCCTGTATTGCTCAAAATTAAGAAAAATTTGTTTAATTATATTATATTATAATAAAATATAGTTTTTAGAGAAATAGATCAAAGTTATCATTTTTTTTTAAAGATGTAGTTTTCAAAATCGAAGATATATATAATTTTCAGGTTTTATAAAAGAAATTATCTTAAAGATAAATTATGAGATATTTAAATGTAATTTAAATATATATTCATAGAAAGAGAGAGAGAGAGAGTTTTGCTAAAGTATCTAAAATTTGTTAGATATAAATCTGAAAAATTCTGTTTCGATCATACAAATTATGCAGGAGGCTTAAACCGATTGTTAGAATGTTAAAACTTTTTATAACATTCCCATCAATACTTAAACGTTCTGTACAATATTTTGATGATTCAACAAAATCGTTTTCAAATCTGTCTTTAAATTTCTAAAAAATCTAACTAAATTTTTAGATACGTACTTTAGTAAAACTGTTTTTTCCTGTTAAATTCGTAATGTCAAATTATACCCACAATTTTTGAGTTATTTTTAATCATTTCTATAAATCGCCACTGCTCTCACTCAATACATCGTTTAGTTTAATTAAAACAATGGAGTTATATATAATTTAACTCAAAATATAATTTGACTAAAATTTAGTTTATTATTTATTAATAATAAGTCCATATACGTTAATATAATGGAAGTTATTTATTTTGAAACTAACCCCAGAAACGGATTGATTTACACACATGGAAGTTAAAAGTAACAAATTGTTATTTAATCCAATCTCCCAAGAGATTGGATTTACCATTATTCCTTTGATGTATAACAGTGCATTGAGAGCGTATTTATATTTTACATTCGACAAATCAGAGCAGTATATTTAAAACAACGTTGTATTTTATTGCATTATATCCAGGAGGAACTAAAAGCGAGATAGAAATATCTGTTCTCATAAACAACCGTGACGTTTGACACATCTGTTCGACTGTTGAAATTAACGGAGAACATCTGTTTAGTTACGAGAGTTAAGTGAACAAATTCGCCGCGCCTTTTGTACAAGATTTGTTCTTTGTACTTGAAATTTCGACCAGCGAAATTTCTGTCGTTCAGAAGACACGACACACCCATGATACCCGATATTAATGTCGATAAAGATATAGACGGTGGCTCTTGTAGCCAAGAGCGACTCTAGTGCGCTTATATCACGAAGAGAAAAGTTATGAAGTGGACTTCGAGGAAGAACGAGGGGGAGTTAACGAGCCTCTGGATGAGGAAAGCACACAAGAGAAATAAACACGACTGATGCCGCGGTCGTTAAGAATAGTAGCCTTGGGAAACTTTTGCCGTTGCGGATCTTACGGCGCAGCAGAAGTTTTCCTACAGAATGATCGAATCAGCGCCAGGCTAGAAATATCGAAAAGCGAAAACGACAAGAGACGTATTAGACATTATCCTTTGGCGAAAATAACATCACATTCGGCAAAAGCACGTTCTATATTGCGACGAGATAAAATACGCTAGATAAGCACGATACTATCGCATGCCACGATAAAACACAAAAATACTTTTCAATTAATTTTTTCATCATTCTAAATTTTTTATAGATTTTTGAGAGCCAGTATAGCATTATTATCAAATCGACCGGATCATCAATTTAGTTATGATACACTGTTAAATTCATAATGTGAAATTATAATAACTTGCATTATTTTCTCATCATTTCTATAAGTCGATACCACTCATACTCAATATATCGTTAATTCAACTAAAACAATAAAATTAAATAATCCAAAAATGTATTAAATCCGATTCAAGTTTAGTTTATTATTTACTAAATGCATATATGAACATTGCTAATTACTTTGAAACTAACCACAGAAGTGGAATAATTTACATTTTAACATACGTTTAAGTTAAACATAACAAAATATTATTTAACTCAAGAGTCACTATTGCTTCTGTGATATCTAACAGTATATTATTTCAGCTTCAGTTTATAGTTACATTTCAAGTCCGATAGTACGGCGCGTAGTTTATATATCTGAACGAGCATGTATTTAGAATTTGCATATAAAAATATATTATTAAACACCAAGGTCTAGCTTTGACCGTATGTAATTGGCTCTTTCTTTACATGTTTGATAAATTTACCTTATATTAAGATTTTAATTAAAAATATTAATTTTCAAAATTTTAATAATACTCTACTTATTTTTGTGTATATAATTTTTAACAAAACCGATGAGTGTCTTAGACTTTTTGTTTTCTCACTGAAGAGAGAAAAGCTTTCTATGGAGCCAAAAGCGGAAAAATGAAAATAATGAAAAGCTCGCACGGTTATTACATTTTGTGATCTTCTGTTTGATCCGAGAGTACAGATACTTCTACTACACGTGTACATTCCTAGAACACTCACTGAAGAGAAAAACTTTCTATGGAGTCAAAAGCGGAAAAATGAAAATAATGAAAAGCTCGCACGGTTATCACACTTTGTGATCTTCTGTTTGATCCGAGAGTACAGATACTTCTACTACACGTGTACATTCCTAGAACTACAAGTAGATAAAATTCGTCGAAACTTGAAGACAAGAAACGAAGAAAAGGATTGATTACTAGAAGGTGAAATTATCGTGTCCTTTTCATAAATCAATCATATCAATTATGCATTGGTATAGCAGATTATTATTTATTAGTTATTAGCACTCTTTTAATTTAGCAATAAAAATTTGTAAAACTTCTACGAGCTACTTAACTTTTGAAGTGCTAACGGAATTCGCTACAAGAAGAATTCAGTTTTTTAACTACACAAAATATCTTCCTTCAAATTTCTCAAAAATTTAATTATAGTAATAATCCATAATTGCAACATGCTGTTATATAGTTTCTTTATCAATCAAAATAAAATAAAATAAATATGAAAAAACTTTTGTTTTTGACATGATTTTAAATAAATTATAATACTTAATAAGTTAAATTAAACTACTTGTATGAATAAATCAAATAAAGTAAAGAAACATCAAATGCGGTCAAGGCTATATCTTAGTATCCAATAATATTTCTATAAAAACATTTGACGAAAATACTGAAAGTACTGAAAAATGTATAATATTATTAGGCGCAAGATCTAAATTGTATTTAGTGCTTCTTTTCTTAATTTATTTTAAATAGTCGTCTGATATGTTATTATGATACAGAATATGTTATTATGATATTTATTATGTTAAAAGTTAAAAAACTATTAAATAAAAATTATAGCGTAAAAACTAAATCAATAAAAGATAATAATAGTTTGTATCCATAGTTAACTAATATAAAATACTTGATAAAACATTAAAAAATCAAGAAAAGAATAATAATGTTGCAACTAACAAGCAGCTTTAATAGAATTGGTTAGAACTTTATCCTGCTATTCTTGTAAAAAGTTCTTCATTCTAATTAAACGTACGTAAATATATACGGCGGTGTTTGCATACAAAGGATTCAATCATTATTAATATGCCAACAATTCTCCAATTACTTCTCCGTCCTAACTCGAATAGCTAATCAAAAATTCGTCGCTTTTATGCGCCTTGTCATTACTTTATTATTATAATACCTCTCATTCTCCTCCATTTAATCGTCAAATCCCTAATCCCTAATCCCTAGCTAATCAGACGCGTTTCAGGGAAAATCACGCATACGTTGCGACAATCTGCTGTTTCGCTTTACATGTATGTTCCTCGCACCCCCGTTTATCAATCCCGACCATATGCTCGTTTCTACAATCAGAATTCAAGTGCTAACCTCGCACTGCTCGCACGCGACAGTCGCGTCGCGCGGCTCTCCCTCGCACATTTGGCACTGCAGCCGTGAGTTCCGCGATTCCTGGTACTTGTCGACGATGTGCTGCATCGCGCGGTACTTGGGCAGATTATGGGCGCCGCCCTCGTCAAAATATACGGTCTTCTGACAGACCGGGCATGATAGGCAGAGAGTACCACCGGACGGCGGGAAGCCACCGTTCCCTGGGGTGCCGACGTAGCTGCCTGGCCGCGAGCTGGTGGACGTGCTACTGCAAACTACTCCGGAGTCGGTCTCCGACAGGATCGACAACTTGTCGGCCTCCTGATCGGAGCCTGGTGCGTTGGACGAGTCGGCGGTGGACTCCGGCGGCGAGTCCGGCGGTGCTTGCAAATTTACCGCGCAGGCCAGGCATAGTGCGTGCCAGCAAGGCAACAGCACCGGTTCCACGAACAGCTCCTTGCAGGAGGGACACCGCAGCTCGTCCTCCATCGCAAATGCACCGGCGGTACGTCGTCTGCCGATCGTCCTGGTGTCCGTGAGCTGTTCCTCGTGGATCTTCTCGAGCCGCGGCAGCTCGCTCGATCGCCTCGTTCGGGTCTGCAGGATTCCTTCAGGATGCCGGACAACGTGGCGATGCAGTCGAAGGTCACCGTTGATCTCCTTTCACCGTCGCGACCGAACGCACACTTTGCGTTATTCTAAAACGCGGAGTGATTTACGGAGGTATTCGAAATTCGCTGCACTTTCTCACGGAAGACTCCGATTCGCTGAGAGAAATGACACTCGAAGGTTTCTTCGAAAAAAGGTTCTATCGGAAAGCGATTGTCATAAACTGTTGACGCTTTCAAAGGGTCGCGTAAAAAAGGTTGTAAAAAATAAACGAACACAACAAAAGAGTTGGAGTCATACAGATGTTCTTCAAAAGGATTCTAGTGGAACATGAATCGACGAGCTTTTGCTTTCAGTCGACGTGGAACGAATGAGAAAAACTTCCAAGCAGGCCGAAGGAAAAACTCAACTGTCGATTATATTTAGATCGATCTCGGCTCAGAGATCGCACATGCTTCCTAGTTTCATCGTCAAGTACCGCAAGCAGACTCGCAATCTGAATCCCACAATCGCGCGCGGAAACACGCGCGACGGATCCGTATCGATCGCGCCGACAGAAATCCCTCGGTCCGCTCACCGATGCGCTCGTTGACGATGCATCGTGAAATAGAGTGCACTTTACGGTACAACGGGCGGACTGCGATCTCTTCCACGTTTCAACGAGAACGTGTCACCTGTCGACCGCGCGCATCGCGGGCTTTTTGCATTTTTCGGAAGATGCGCCCGGCGTCCGTTTCGACGCGTTTTCTCTCACGTGTGACGGCGATCCCGACGTTGAAATCACCGAGACTCGATTGTTGATCCCGCTGGTAGATCGTTGGCTCGGGGACAGTATGCAACTCCACGCACGTTGATATCTGACGGTTTTACACACGTACATACACACGCGACGCACGCGTCGTCTTGGCTCGAACTCGTGAGCACCGAGGAGACCACGCTTGGCAGAGACCAGCAACACGCAGCCTGCAAGCCGTCACCGGGTTGACTGACTCCCGGCACCGAGTCAAAGAACCGTCGCGCACCGCGGCCACGCACACTCAGGAGCGTGATCGTAAAGGGGAACGAGAGGTGTCGAGAAGGATCCTTTACGAAGACGAGGTTCCCAAACTTGTTTTAACTACACTTAGATATTAAAGGAGCAATGGTAACCCAATTCTTTGAGTTCAATGAATTTTATTATTTTTAACTTCTATGTGTGTCAAAATCAATCCATTTTTAGGATTAATTTTGAAATAAACATTATCCATATTGACGTATGCATTTAGTAAATAATAGATTCATTGAGTCAAATTTAATACATTTCCTTGAGTTAAATTAAATTGTTTCATTTCATTATTTTAGTTAAATTAACGATATATTGAATAGGAGTAATGGCGATAATTGAAAGTAACTCAAATTGAGTGTAATTTGACATTAGAAATTTAACTATTTAGGATAAAGTGTTATTTGTTTATATATGATCCAAATTAATGGTTAGGACTTCCGACGCAAGAGCGTGTACTCCTTTTATTTCAATTTTTTAGAGACTTGTTTCAACTTTATATCATCTTTTTCGTATCAGTCCGTATCAAACTATGTTTAAGGAGGTTGTAAGGCAAATGCAATATGTTAAGAATTACTTGGAAAGATTACAGATTATTCTAAATTGCATTTAAAAGTAATACAAAAAAATTAGAGACAGTTGACCATCTGGATCAAAAGTTATTTCAATAAAAAATAACAGTTTTTAAATTTGTACTCTAATATAGAAATATAAAATAATGATAAAAATCTCAATTTTTTTGTATAAGTACTTTATGAATTCAAAAATATTTATGTAAAGTTACATTAAGATACAGACATTAATTGTTCAGTAAATAAACAAAATATTTGTTATAAACTAATTGGTGAATTTCAATGAAACTTTGCACAAGTTATTTTTAGTACCTGCTTAAAATATTTTTTTTTTAATTTAGATTTTTATTATTTAAAAAATTTTTGTTTATAACAATAAAACTAATATCAAATAAAATAAATAATCTATAAAAATAAATAATCTATAAAAATGTGTTGCTCAATAAAAACAAAATGTTATGAACACAACTTTCACATATATGTAGTTTGTTTAAAGCGTAATATTAATATATGTTTTATACCCTTAAAATGTTATAACACAACTTTCACATATATGTAGTTTGTTTAAAGCGTAATATTAATATATGTTTTATACCCTTACGACCTCCTTAAGAGACTCCCGTTCATTTTATAGAAATTAAAATCGAAAACTTTGCGTAAAGAAAGTCAAATAATGAAAATTAGATGTCGTTAAAAGAAACAAATTTTTTAATACTGTATATTCATGGAAAAAAGATAATTTTGTATTAATGATAGATCCAATTGGAAGTAGTCTTATTCATTCAATAACAGTATTATGTTCGATTCTATCAATGTAAATTAACTTTAATCTCGATTCAATTTACTCTTTACCATTTTCTAATGTTTAAAAGATAAAAATTAAACCGAGATTAAACCGCGAGATTATAGTTACTCTACATTAATCATGCAATAAAATTTTGACATTTGTGAAACAAATATATAAATACTCGTTTTATTAAAACAAGAGCATAATCCATAAACTTTGTAGGTCAAAACTTTATGACATAAAGCACTAATCATTCCAACGATATTGCAACTACATTGCATTTTAGCAATAACATTGGCTGCATTCAGCGAAAAAAGCAGCTTTGCAACTGTTGTGAAATTCTTTAATATGATTGGTCTTGCCCTTTACAGTTACTCATTGGATCTAAATGTATAAACCAATCATATTCGAGAATTTTACAACAGTTGCAAAGCTACTTTTTCTGTTCAACTCAGCCATTGCAAACGTTGCAGCTATAAATTGCTACAAACTTCTGAGCTGTGGGGGAACGTACTGAATCAACAAGATTATTTCCAGTTTAATTAATGCTGTTAATAATTTTTTCTGTGTGGGGAGAAATATATTATACAGGCTTACTCTGTACTTTGTAAATGTACTCTTAAAATAGTGTCTGTAACTAATTATAACGTTATTGATTATTAGTACTCGGAGCATTTTTAAACAGGAATAATTATTTGTAGAATGTATGAAATATATATCGTATGTATGTATATATAAATTTTTTCTGTATAGATGTAATTGGAAGTATAAATAGTATAATTTTTTAGCAGGTGTCTTCAAATATGGAAAGTATTTTTATTTCGCTTTCAACCCTAATGGGAATCCATTTCTTTCTAACGTAAGTCTTATTTTCGTACGAACTATGTTAGGTATATTGTGAAATTACTCGCCATATGGAACCGGTTTCACGCTCTGAGCGCATATTTCAGGGACGCGCCTACACGAGGCACTTAATCGAGGCCACTCGAGAATCCAGCACGCAGACTTCGTCTAAAACAAATGTATGTATGCCCGGAAACATTTATTATACAATTATATCCATAGCTGAAATTAAAACGTATTAATTAAATTTGTAACTATTTTAGATACATATTTTCTTTCATGGGAGAGAGAAATGAGCAATTGTACTTGTATAATTAATCTTTATGTATATCTTAAGTATCTTTGAACTATTTCAATATTTAATTACGAAAAGTTTAGATTGCAAATACTCATTATAAAGGAACTCGTCGTTTCTTTCGGCTGGAAGAGAAAATGGTTATTTGAATAAAAGTTACGACATTCTCACTTCAACGAAGACGTTGAAATCGTCTTAGTAAGAATGAAGTACTTGCGGTATATATCCGCGATAACTTCTTACAGGCCGCAAGTAACTTCACGACAATACCTTCTCGCGAGACGTCGCGACAGAAGTATCTCGCTCTGACGTACGAGATAATAAAACGGAAAGACAGCCAGTTTCTCCGTTGCCACGGCGAGATGCGTGAGAGAATTCCGGTTCTCCAGAGGGGAAAGGAACGGGACAATGGACAGAGGGTTGGAAAGGGCAGGGATCCTAGATACCGGCTCGATATAATACCGCAGCCAGGTGCGACACGATTCGTATGCGGTACAGCCAGTTGCGTGCAATCACTCGCATTTACGCTGCTCTTCGGCTGAAACTTCTCTTTGTAATGGCCGCTTCAACCAATATAGATTAACTTTAAACAGAGTTGGCCATTTCCGATGGGAGCTTATAAAAACATATTGTATTTTGTATTTCAAATACTAAGATTGGCAATCAATTTTACTTTTGAATTTAAAAAATCCAAAAACTTTTAAATCGTTCCATTTTAAATACAACATACGTAATACTTTCATGTGCTCCGCCGAAATACAAAATACACTTGTATTGTAAATACTGTGTTTGAAATAAAGTATTTCAAATACATGCCCAGTTTGGACTTTAAATGAAAGTTAAATTCGGCGCACAGTGTGCAGGATTGGATATGAGTATATATATTCAGGTGGAATTATTTAAACACTAAAGATCCAGTTTGACCGTTTAAGATTTTTATTTCTGATTTGTTGTAAATTAACTTTAATCTCGATTCAATTTATTCTTCATTCTTTTTCAATTCTTAGAACTAGAAAAAGATCAAATTAGTTGAATCAAGATTAAAGTTAAACTACATTGGTAGAAATAAGTGCTATGCTCAGTTTTTCGTTGTCTGGTTAATTTTTGGTAGACTTAACCGCATTTAACTTGATACTAATAATGTAAAAATTGTTTTTTTAAGCTATTAATCACTAAATAATTTTATAATGGTAACTTTAAAAGTTATTTACTACAAAATCATCAATTTAGAGCTTAACCATAGCTAGAAAAATACAATTTTTACTATAATATAAAACAGCCAATTACAATCAAAGTTAGATGTTTCAAACATTGCATTATGCATTTATTAAATAAATTTATTTCATCGACACGACTGCGTGCAATGCTGATAACTTCCGGACTTTCAACACAATCAATCTGAAACACTAACAATTCCCCCTAAATTAAATTAAATTAAAAAAACTAAAAAAAAAGAGAACTTATTGCGAAAAAATATTACATTTTTACATTATCATCAGGTTAATCCGAACCACAAGTTGATCAGAAAATGAAAAATCTCCTTAATCAAACCAAACGGATTCGCTCTTCATTCGTGTAGGTGAACGACCCCAGGGAGACCCCGCGGGTGAACTTCCGTGAAACTCTACCGTA